ATTCCAACATTTCCGTCGCGCCCTGCCTGCCCAACCTCTTAACGCGGATTGTCTGCAGTCTGCTCTCCACCGCGCGTTGGCCACAAGTGACAACGCCGCCGCTCTGCGCGAAACTATATCACTCACTACTTAAACTAGGAAGGCCCACTCCCCGCATCGCTAATATGAGAATAGCTTTCTCTCGCCCTGCAACCGCATGTAGTCGACTGAAGCAATGGTCGCTCCTGTTCTTGTCTCCTTTCACGTTGTGGCGTCACCATCAAGCAACGGGGGCAGCCGCGCCGGTGAGATTGATGAATGAGTTGCATCGTGCGTCTCCACATCCGCCTCGATTGGCCTCGCACTGCAGAATGCCTTCTCTGGTTTATATGATTCTCGCCCTCTACGTCGCTGAACTCACTGCCGCCGTCGTCTTTGCGATTGCTGCCTAAACTCCAGAAGCAACGGCCGTCTGAATGGGGCTCGCGGGTTGGCGAAAACCGAATTGAATTGGTCCTCCGCTAGCTTCCCGTGCCTCGGGCAACCCCTGCCCCAGTTAACTTCCCGCGCTGGGTAGCTCTGGTCCTCGCCTCCTGTCCCAGGCACCTCGGCGTTCAATGAGCCAGTGGAACGTTGCCCCCTTTCTCCTTGACAACTGCCTTGCGCCCGCCGGCATTGCGCCCCGAGCAGCCGCAGAACGGGCCGTCCGCGCTCGCCCCCGCCCGGAGCACGTCGGCTGCCAGCGTCGAAAAACTCTCTGGCCGACCCGAGCGCCCTGCTGACATCCGCGACTTGAATGGGCACGGCGCAGCGGTGCCGTCTTGCATCCTTGACTACCCTCCGACCGCTTATGCGCATGACGGGCCGGTCGGCGGCGCTGCAGCGTCTGCCCGACAGGGCGGCCGCAGCGGGCGCAACGGGGAAATGCGAAACAACTCGCGGTGGCCTCGCAGTGCCACAGGCCCCCGAATCGAATTCAACCGCCACCGTCTTGAACCCATGCTCTTGCTGATTATGAAGGGCCTCGTTGCCTTCAGGAGCGTCGCCCAGCCTCTCTACTGACTGCGCTTCCGCGCGCTCGTCTGCCCACTAATGCACTAATGGCCACTGTCGTCGACGTAACATGCGTCGTTCCGTTCGCGCCCAACCTCTCGCGCGTCGTTTTTGTCGTCGTCAGCGTCTCCGAACTCCAGGCCCACCATTCGCATTTCACGCGCAACTTCCGACAGTTCCCCTGCGTTGACGCGCCAGGATTGCGACGTAGTCCTGGCGCCAATCCTTGAGCAGTCACCGGACATGGCACAGCGGTCCGAAACGCCAGGTTCAAAGCGCGAGCCGGCCCACGCGCCCCCAGCGATTCCACTAGCGCCGTGCACTTCCCCAACTGCGATGCCGCGTCTCCGACATTTCTGAGTTTGTCCGAATTCATGGCCAAACGGATTGTGGTTGAAAGGGCGAACTGGAAACTACTGAATGCCACTTCCATATTTTTTGGCACGCCTGCAGCCCGTCTCCTTCGCGCAACCCCATGGACTCTCTTCGCGGCTCTACTCCGTCCAGCGCGTCCTTGAAGATGCAGCGCATGCCCTCATTAAACTTATGTTTACACTTGTCGTCATTACCTTGTTGTTAAACGCGGGCGCTTTTCCGTGCTCAGCAGCCGTTGGCCGAACGCTGGGCCCCCTCGCCACGACGTCTCCGCTCTCGTCTACCGCACCGCCCATTGTCTCCAGCCCGCTGCTCATATTATGTGGTTAAGCGCGCACTTTGGAGGCAAACTCGGTCTCTCTGTTTCGGCCAAAAGGTCGGGTGAAGGCATGATTTCTGCCTGCGCTGGAACTCCGATTCAAGTCTGGCCCTCAGCGCCAGCTCTGATTTAGGTCTGACTGGGGCTCTGAGTGAATTCTGGCCCAAAGAATCAACTTTGATTTAGGTACGCATGGGAACTTGAATTTCGGCGCGATTCCTGCGCGCTGCCCAAGTCCCTGATCGAGGCACCCCTGGGCATCGCCCCTGGGCGGGCTGGCAGCAGCGCGAATCGTCGAGAATCCCTCGTCAGCCCAGAGGCCCCCAAAGGTCCCAAGCCCAGACAACTTGCGACCTAACCCCGCGACGCGCGCGCTGCTGCTTTGCTACGCCCCCATCGCTCTCCCCCCCCCCCCCCTTCTCTCCGCAGCCCCCCGCCTGATCGATTCTGCCCCTCTTCAAATCCCAGGCCAGGTGCGATGCTGCCCCGTGGGCGCGGCGGCCCTCCAAAAGCAGCGACATCTAAGAGCATGCGATTACGGGCGAGGAATGCGCGCGCAAATACACATTATGCAACGACATATGGGCGCGCATGTCTTTTGCATGTGACTCGCAACAAACATGCGCACTAAGTTGCACACGTGCAAGATCTGCACTTTTAAACTGAATAAATTATCACTGTCGCAATGAAATCAGATCTCGAACAGTGGGATCACATGCCGCGCAATGGGCCAGATCTGGATCCACACGCTTCCCCCTTCGATATTTTGCCCCCGTTGTTTGTCTCCCGTGCCAGCGCGCGACCCATCGTTCCCGCGCCCCCCCCCCCTTTCTCAGGCGCGCGTCGCCAGTCTGGGCCCCCATCGAAGATCGACCGCCGCGCTTCCCCATGGGCGCGGCGCGCCCTGGCCGGAATTTCGGGGGGGGGGGGGGGGGGGCGATCCGCGGCTGCGAGAAACCCGGAGAGACTTGGCAAACGTAGAACAACGCCCAAACGCACCGACATCAGACAGACCGCCCATTCGAAGCGCGGCCCCCGGACCTCTCGACCCTCGACCCCTGCCGAGACCCAGCTGCTCGCCCTCGCGCTTATTGCATGGCATCCGGCGGCGCTCTCGGAAACGCCCCCCGCTCTGGTCAGAGGCCCTATGGGGGCCAGCGAAACGCGCCCGATCTTCGAGCGTCGACCCAGGACCCAACTCCCCCCCCCCTTCTCCCCGAGGAGGAAGCGGGGGGGGGGGGGGCGTGCGAGGACGGGGGTCGAGGTTCGAAGATTGCGCGAGATTCGGGGCGGCCGTTGCCTCCCAGGGCTCGGGCGCGAGACTCGGAGCTCAGTCGCCCGCCCCCCCAGGTCGCAAAAAATATGCACGTGGCATTAGCGCTCCAAGGATTCTTCGAACCTCGATCTTGGCGGTCGTCTCAGGGCAGGGGCCAGCCGCGGGAAATCAAGCGCCTCGGCCGCGCCCTCGGTGGCTGGCGCCCCCCCCCCCCCCCCCCCCTTCCCCAGAGGAAGACCGCCGTTGTCTCTCCCACCTTCGTTCCCGCCCTCGGCCCTCGCCCTCGCCCTCGTCCTCGTCCCGGCCCCCGGCCCTCGCCCGTGTTCCCGCCGTCGCTCCCGCCCTCGCTCTCGCCGTCGTTCCCGCCCCCGTTCGCGCCCTCGGCCCCGCCCCCGTTCCAACCTTCGTTCCCGCCCTCGTTCTCGCCTTCGTTCCCGGCCTATTTCTCTCCCATCGCGCCCCCCTCTTTGTTGCAGGAAGACAGACGCACTTGCGCAGCGCGCCCCGCCCTCCGCCCCACATTGCCAGAACTCTGATGATACTCTGCTTCAACTCCTGTTTCGACTCTGGACTGAAACTCTGCTTCATCTCCGATTTAGCTGAAACTATAATTTCGCTCTGGTCTGGAAAGCTGACGTAACTCTGTCTAGCTCTGATGTATATATGTTTTCAGCGGTTTGGGACAGAGCCGAAACAGAGTTTAATCGAAGTTCAGAACAGAGCTAACCCAGAGTTACATAGGAATCAAGGATGACACAGAGTTTCGGGCCCGAGGTGAATAAGCATAAGCCTTTTATTCCAGATTTTAGATTTCGCTTTTGAAAATAGTTTTCTTCAGATTACACACTTAAGTATTAGGTACCTTGCGGTAACTTGGGCAAGCCGGTGCAAGGGCGTTACGGAGCTGTTCGCTCCATTCCCTGCGTTGGCCTTGATCACAAACGAATGCCTTTAATTGCCGCATGGCCTTGCATTCGCTAAATGGTATGTGTTTGCTCTCGGCTATCTTGGTAAAGCTGTCAAGTGCGCTTGTCTGTGCGGCCACTGGGTCTTCTGGGTGTTCTAACCTTTTCTTGGATATATCGATTCGCTCTTGGCGTACATGTTCCTTTTCACAGCAGTCAGTACCAGGGAATCCATCTTTTGCGCGATGAGCAAGAAGCCGTACCTCCCTTCAATGGTGACCGTTGTCATCCTGGCGGCTGCTTGTCGTTCACTGAACTATGCCATGCGTTGATGGTTGGCTCGTGACGCGACGCTCACGTAACGGTATTCCCCACTGCAGGAAACATTCCTGGCACAGCTCACTGATTCGGGCTGGGGTGAGGTTGAGTCACCTGTCCTGGTCGTGTGGCGTGTTTAACTCACGCCTTGGATCTTCTGGCCCTATAGCGGCCGTGTCGGCGACAACGCCCGCCATTGTTCGCGAATTAGCCTTGCTCCGCTACCAAGCTGACCTTTGGGGAGGGTCGCAACGGGAACGGTAACGATGTTTTCTCAGACCGATACGCTCGCCACGAACGTTAACGATCAATCACCTAAGCCAAAAGGCGCCGATCGCGACGCACGCCCAGTAACAATGAGACCACCATTCTCCATACCCAGTCACCCTCGTTATAATCAACACTTTCCTTCACTCCTCCTCCTCCTCTTCCTCCTCCTCCTCCTCCTCATTCCTCCTCCTGTGTCTTCTCCCTCCCCATCCTCCTCCTCCTCCTCCTCTTCCTCGTCCTCGTCCTCGTCCTCGTCCTCGTCCTCGTCCTCGTACTCGCCGTCCTTTTCATGTTCGCCTCCTCTTCCTCCTCCTCCTCATCCTCCGCCTCTTCCTCCCCGTCCTCCTATGCGATGTCCTTGCCCCCCTCCTACTCCTGGTATTACCCCTCATTACATTTCACTTGCTCCTCCTCCTCCTTTTCTCCTCCTTCCTTTCTCCCATCGCTGATCAGCCTCCAGACATGTTGGCGGATGCCGCGGCGTGGCTGAGGCTAGGGCGCACGCCGAGACGCTCTCATCCACACGCGCCAGGGTCACAGACCTGGCCCAAATCTGGGGTGGAGGGCGTCGTAAAGAAACTGTGTTTGTGTGTGTGTCTGTGTGTCTGTGTGTCTGTGTGTGTGTGCCTGTACGTGTGTGGCCCGCCGCTCCCCGCCACTGCCATGTAAGGGGACGGCAATTCCCCCCTGCACGCGCGGCCACGGCAGGACAAATGTTCGCACCATATCCTATAATCTCCTCATTGCCACGTGGAGCGATCTCCGGGGGCGAGCAAGTAACACATGGGCAACGGCACCCGGGTTGATCCCAAATCGCCTCACTCTGCACGGCTTGACCCGACTTGGCTCGGAAACGGCCGTGCGGCGCTTCGCCCTGCCCGCGTGCACCCGAAAAGTCTGGACGTGTGCACGCCCGCGCGCGCGTGTGTGTGCGTTTTGTGTGTGTTGTGTGTGTTGTGTGTGTGTTGTGTGTGCGTGGGTGTGCGTGTGTGTGTGTGTGTGTGTGTTATGGACTGTGTGTTGTGTTTTGTGTGTTGTGTGTTGTGTGATGTGTGTTGTGTGTGTTGTGAGTGTATGTTGTGTGAGTGTGTGTGCGTGCGTGCGTGCGTGCGTGCGTGCGTGTGCGTGCGTGCGTGCGTGCGTGCCGTGCGTGCGTGCGTGTGTGCGTGCGTGCGTGCGGTGCGTGCGTGTGTGTGTGCGTGCGTGCGTGCGTGCGTGCGTGCGTGTGCGTGCGTGCGTGCGTGCGTGCGTGTTTGTGTCTGTGTGTGCGTGTGTGTGTGTGTGTGTGTGTGTGTGTGTGTGTGTGCGTGCGTGCGTGCGTCCGTGCGTACGTGCGTGCGTGCGTGGGTGTGTGTGTGCGTGTGCGTGTGTGTTGTGTGTGTGATGTGTGCGTGTGATGTGTGTGTGTGTTGTGTGTGGTGTGTGTGTTGTGTGTTGTGTGTGTTGTGTGTGTTGTGCGTGTTGTGTGTGTGTTATGTGTTGTGTGTTGTGTGTTGTGTGTTGTGTGTCATGTGTTGTGTGTTGTGTGTTGTGTGTTGTGTGTATTGTGTGAATGTGTGTGTGTGCGTGCGTGCGTGCGTGCGTGCGTGCGTGGGTGTGCGTGCGTGCGTGCGTGGGTGCGTGGGTGCGTGCGTGCGTGCGTGCGTGCGTGTGCGTGCGTGAGTGTTTGTGTCTGTGTGTGCGTGTGTGTGTGTGTGTGTGTGTGAGTGTGTGTGTGTGTGTGTGTGTGCGTGCGTGCGTGCGTGCGTGCGTGCGTGCGTGCGTACTTGCGTGCGTGGGTGTGCGTGTGTGTGTGTTGTTTGTTGTGAGTGTTGTGTGTGTTGAGTGTGCTTTGTGTGTGTTGTGTGTGTTATGTGTTGTGTGTTGTGGGTTGTGTGTTGTGTGTTGTGTGTTGTGTGTGTGTTGTGTGTGTGTTGTGTGTTGTGTGCGTGTGTGTGCGTACGTGCGTGCGTGTGTGTGCGGGTGCGTGCGTGCGTGCGTGTGCGTGCGTGCGTGCGTGCGTGCGTGCGTGCGTGTTTGTGTGTGCGTGCGTGCGTGCGTGCGTGCGTGCGTGCGTGCGTGCGTGTGCGTGTGTGTGTGTCTGTGTGTGCGTGCGGGGCGAAGGGGGGGGGGGGGGGGCAAAACGGACCCGCTCCATGGCAAGGCCCTTCCCTCTGCCACCATTCATGGGAAAGTGTCCGGGCGACAAAAGACAAGGCTGGTCGGGGAAGGGAACCTGAGCGCGCTTGGGGCACGAATCGCGGCACGGCTACTGCCCCTGAGGCTGGCAAAGGCAGACCAATGCATTCTAGAGGGGACGTGAGCTCACGCAACTCCTGGGCCTGATCTCTCGACGCGCTCTGCGTGCGCTGCGTGCGTGGGTTCCACCCCCCCTACCGAAACCGGGCATCAAGAGAGGAACAAAGAACGGCAGAAACATACTTCCTCGGAGGTCCGCGCGGACATCTTGGATCGGCGCTGGACCCCCCTTCCGTCAAGCGCGCGGAGCGCGCAAGGCGGGCTGCCGAAGGCGCCGCCAGGGGAGCCCAGCGCCGATCCAAAAAATCCGTGCGGACTTCGGCGAAACTGAGTTGCCGCGATGTGTTCAAACGGACACAGATCGAGCGGCGTCTTCTCTTCGCCAACGCAGGGGGGACGTTTTCGCAGCCCCTAGATCGTGCCCGAAGAAGCGGAGACGGTGCGACCAAATTGAAACCTGGTCTGACAGATTGGTGGCACGGTGCACTGCGTCATCATCTGCATCGCACGGTCACTTCGGTCGCACCGTCGCCCGTCGGCAGGCGTCCTGTTGCGGTGCTAGACGCTCCGAGGGAGCTCAATCATTCGATGCCCGAGCGTGATGCTTGGGTCTGTCGTGAAGGACGTGGGCGGCAGGTTGCATAACCCGAACTGCTGGAACATCGGCGGGGGGAGCCACGATTGCGGCAGTGCAAAGGCGTGTTCTTCCCTGGCGCAATGAATCAGGAAAGGATGGATGGCGCAAGAGGAGTCGAAACAAGATATCCAGACCTTTGACGTGTCCCGCTGTTTCGCGGGGCCCGAGCACTGGTCGGCCCAGCCATCTGTATTGGAGCCCAGTCCAAGCCAGCAAGTCGGCGGCTAATGCTACGCATCTCTTGCTCAGACCTTCAGAGGGCAGGGGCCGTCTTAGAAGGCATTGATTTTCTTAGAAATGCCCGTTCAGAAGCCTTCTCAGGAGCCGGGGGGGGCCCTGTTAAGAAGCTCGCATGAGCGACGAAGAGAAAAGCTAGGAGCTGGCAGAACGATCTTACGAGGTGGATTACGCGGGCTGCCACCGCGGCAAGACACATTGGAAACGAGGGCGCTTACGCGCCGCCTTTCTCGGGAAGCTTGCATGCCAGTGACGGCGCAATCGACCCCGTTTCCAGCGCTCACGTGCACACTTAGAAGACGCACCCCACCTTCTTTGAGAATTATCCTGGCGAAGAACCCAATCATTTGCAGTTGTGAGTACCGTCGTTGCCGGCATCGCCTTCGGAGGATCTTCTCACGCGGCCGTGAAACATGCGAAAAGTGTGCCGATGTGGGGTGGGGCCGCCACGGGGCCGCGAAAAGTGTGAGGAGTGCGCCGCAGTGGGGCGGGGCCACCACTGGGGCCTCCGGTGGAACTCCCCACGGGGCAACGAAACACTGTCCTGGGTGGGGAAACGCATGCGAATACAGCCACCGGGGCCTTCCGTGAAGCTCCCCATGAGGCCACGGAACGCTGTGCTGGGTGGGGGGAACGCATGCGAACACCGCCATTGGGGCCTTCGTTGGAGCTCCTATGGGGCCACGAAACGCTGCACTGGGCGGTGGCAGCGCATGCATGTGCATCCACTGGGGCCTCCCGTTGAATTCCATATGGGGCCACGAAACGCTGTACTCGGTGGGGGATAACGCATGTGGGCGGTGCCACTGGGGCCTTCGGTGGAGCTTCCTATGGGGCCACGAAGCGCTGTACTGGGTGGGGGTGACGCATGCGGGTGGTGTCACTGAGGACTTCGGTGGAGCTCCCTATGGAGCCACGAAGCGCTGTATTGAGGGGGGGTGACGCATGCGGGCGGTGCCACTGAGGACTTCGGTGGAGCTCCCTATGGAGCCACGAAGCGCTGTACTGGGTGGGGGTGACGCATGCGGGCGGTGCCAATGGGGCTTTCGGTGGAGCTGCTTATGGGGCCACGAAGCGCTGTACTGGGTGGGGGATGACGCATGCGGGCGGTGCCGTTCGGGACTTCGGTGGAGCTCCCTATCGGGCCATGGAACGCTGTACTCGGTGGGGGTGACGCGTGCGGGCGGTGCCACTGGGGCCTTCGCTGGAGCTCCATATGGGGCCACGAAGCGCTGTACTGGGTGGGTGTGGCGCCTGCGGGCTGTGCCACTGGGGCCTTCGGTGCAGCTCCCCATGAGGCCCCGGAACGCTGTGCTGGGTGGGGGTAACGCATGCGGGCGGTGCCACTGTGGTCTTCGGTGGAGCTCCCTATGGAGCCACGAAGAACTGTACTGGGAAGGGTGTGGCGCATGTGGGCGGTGCCACCCGGGCCCTCGGTGGAACTCCCTATGGGGCCACGAAGCGCCGTTATCACTGGGGGTGACGCATGCGGGCGGCGCCACTGGGGCCTTTGGTGGAGCATCCTATGGGGCCACGAAGCGCTGGACAAGGTGATGGTGACGCATGCGGGCGGTGCCGCTGGGGCCTTCGGTGGAGCGTCTTATGGGGCCACGAAGCGCTGAACTGGGTGGGGTGACGCATGCGGGCGGTGCAACTGGGGCAATCGGTGAAGCTCCCTGTGGGGCCACGAAACGCGGTACTGGGTGTGGGCGACGCATGCGGGCGGTGCCACTGGGGGCTTCGGCGGAGCTGCATATGGGGCAACGAAGCGCTGTACTGGGTGGGGGATGACGCATGCGGGCGGTGCCGGTGCCGCTGGGGCCTTCGGTGGAGCTCCCTATGGGGCCACGAAGGGCTGAACTGGGTGGTGGATGACGCATGCGGGCGGTGCCACTGTGGCCTTCGGTGGAGCTCCCTATGGGGCCACGAAGCGCTGAACTGGGTGGGGGATGACGCATGCGGGCGGTGCCACTGGGGCCTTCGGTGGAGCTCCCTATGGGGCCACGAGACGTGTGAGGAGTGTGCCGACATGGGTGTGGGTGACGCATGCGGGCGGTAGTACTGGGGCCTTCGGCGGAACCCCCTATGGGGCCACGAAGCGCTGTACTGGGTGGGTAAAGCGTAGGGAGGGAGGAGGGGGAGGAAGAGGAAGGAGGAGAACGCGGGGACCGTCTCTTCAAAACGAGGACCCAACACCACAGGATGGTTGGGAACAATAAGAACTGCACGAAACACACATACCTCGGGGCTCCGTGCGATCTTCTTTGGATCGGCGACAAATCCCCTCGATTGCAGAATCGAGTCAAAATGCCGGGTTGAAACGGATTATGCATTGAATCGGGCCGCATCGGCACAGAGTCGGAATCGTATCGGGTCGGCCCGCGTCAAGGTGCAAAATGCCGCCGTGCGAACATCGGGCCGCATCGGATCGTCAGAATATCGGAATCGACCCGGATCGGAAACGACATCGGATCGACCAGCCGGAATCGACATCGAATCGGATCGACCAGATCGAAATGGACCTTGCATAGCGCGCACAGCGCGCCAGGGGCGGCGCCAGGGGCGGCGACAGGGCGGAGCACCAACAGTGTCCCCAAGTCCCCTACGTTCGCGCGCCGTGCCCCGCAGCGCGCTGCGCGCGGTTCCCTTCACGCCTTCGCGCCGCCGATTTGGAGAAGGCACAACCCCACGGCCCAGACTGCGACGCGCGATGATATTCGCGTATTCGCGCCCCTGCAAGTTATCTCGACTTCGATCGTCCGGGCTGGTGTGACGTTCTGCTGGCTACGTCGTCGCCGTCGCCGCCCCCTCGCCGCCTTGTCGCCGCCCGTCGACTGGGACGGTATGTCGCTCTGGAGGCTATGTAATCGCTGTCGCCACCAAGTCGCAGCCTCGTCGCCGCCCGTCGTCTGGGTCTGTCTGCCGTTTTGGCGGCAATGTTGCCGCCGTCGCCGCCCCGCCGCCGCTCGTCGCCGCGGCGAAACTGCGCGAAACTCATTGCACAGCATCTACGGCACATCGTAGATTCTCCTGTCTAAAGAATTAGCTTGGCGAAGGACCCAACCATATGCAGTTGTGAACACCGCAATTATGGGGCTCCCTATGGGGCCACGAACCGTGTGAAGGGCGTGCCGACATGCGCGGCGGGGCACACAACGCGAGCGAAGAAGAAAGGTCTGTGTGCGAGAGACTGAGAACGAGTGAGTCTGATTGTGGATGAGCCTGCGCGCGCGTGAGTCTACGTAACTACATACATGCCGACGCCCATGCCGGCACGCCTCTCACGAGGATCGCGCCCGCTTCCTCCCCGTTCGTCTTGTCCATCTTTGCCCGTGCACGCCCACGTCCAACACTGCGGGCGCGGCGACGCACGGAGTCCAGCGACGCGCGCTGGTCGCCCCGAAGGAGTCCCGGCGACGAGCGCGGGTCGTCCGCTGCGCGGAGCAGACTGAACGAGCAGGCTGGCTCCCGCCCGGGATGCGCGGCCCAAAGCGGCCTCAACACGTCGAATACGACGAAACACCGCCGAAAATCCAAAGACGCCGCCACGCGAACTCCGCCACTGGGCTGCCATGCGAGTTCCGCCGCGGACACCTTAAGTGGGGTTCCCTGTGGGGACACGTCACGCTGTACTGGGTGGTGGATGGCGCATGCGGGCGGTCCCATTGGGGCCTTCGGTGGAACCCCCCTTATGGGGCCATGAAACGTTGTGCCGGGTGGTGGATGACGCATGCTGGCGGTCTCACTGGGGCCTTCAGTGGAACCCCCCTATGGGGCCACGAAACGTTGTGCCGGGTGGTGGATGACGCATGCGGGCGGTCCCAGTTGAGCCTTCGGTGGGACCCCCCTATGGGGCCACGAGGCGCTGTGCTGGGTGGTGGATGGCGCACGCGGGCGGTCCCAGTGGGGCATTCGGTGGAGCCCCCTATGGGGCCACGAAGCGCTGAGCTGGGTGGTGGATGACGCACGCATGCGGTCCCACTGGGGCCTTCGGTACAGCTCCCTATAGGGCCACGAAGCGCTGTGCTGGGTGGTGGATGACGCATGCGGGCGGTCCCACTGGGGCCTCCGGTGGAGCCCCCTATGGGGCCACGAAGCGGTACACTGGGAGGTGGATGGCGCACACGAGCGGTCCGAGTGGGACCTTCGGTGGAGCCCCTTCTGGGGTCACGAAGCGCTGAACTGGGTGGTGGATGACGCACGCAGGCGGTCCCAGTGGAACCTTCGGTAGAAGACCCTATGGAGCCACGGAATGTTGTGCTGGTTGGTGGATGACGCATGCGGGCGGTGCCACTGGGGCCTTCGGTGGGGTTCCCTATGGGGCCACGAAGCGTATGAGAGTTGTGCCGAACTGGGTGTGGGGGGCGCATGCGGGCGGTGGTACTGGTGGCATTCGGGGAGGGGGAAGAGAGAGGAAGGGGAGGAGGAAGGAGGAGAACGCGGGGACCGTCTCTTCAAAACGAGGACCCAACACCACATAATGGTTGGGAAATATTCGGACCACACCCCCCTGGACCTATCAGCTCCCACTGGGGATGTGAAATTCACATGCGATTTTGCCCCATCGCCCATCCTGAATGTGAGCTCGTATCGTCCAAGCTAACCGCATCCCCTGTTTTCATCCTTGGCCAAAAACGTTATGCGGCGGCACTCGCATATTAAGAACAGCGTAGCGAACTGCACACGCGCGTGTCGTCGCGCGCACATGCCGAAATCCTTCAACAACTGTGGGTTGCGCGAGGGCTTCAAGACCGAATGTCACGAAAACGTATGACAAACACATGGCTTCGCAACAGGAATCGTGAACATCAACTTCGATCGTGCTCCTGTAGACTCTAAAGACAACCAGGACTGGTTTCAAAATTTTCATAACATGCTACCAAACGGGCCTCTCGCGCGCGCATGTCGTAATCGTTCGAACGCTCTTGCGCGCGCGCTGTCGCAAGAAGTCTTTGCAACACATAGGCGAAATTCACACGCGCGCGTCGTCGCGCGCGAATGCCGACATTTCTCAAACACTTGAGGTCTCGTTGGGACTTCAAAAACGACTGCTTCGAAAAACATGCAACAGCATATGCAATTGCAGCATTGTTTGAACAACCTGCGCGCTCGCTTCTGCGAGTTCTTATGACAACCATCGGTGTTACAACACTGTCATCAAAGTCTGCTTAGCGGGCCTTTCGCGCCGCATGTCGATCTCATCCGAACGCACTTTGCGCGTGTGCTGGGGGGGCACGATCGGTGTCAAAGAGAACCACGCATGCCACTTGCGCGCGCCGGCCGCGGGCGCATGTTGAACTCATCCCAAGACCTTTCATCACCGACGCGAAGATGTCGTCATCGTTATCGGCATGCGTGATCAACATTGGCGCCGTCATTGGCCTTGCCGTCGTCATCGCCACCATCGTCTCCATCATTGCTACTTTCACCGTGTCCACCGTTGCCGGTGTCGCTCTGATACCGCGACCGCTGGGAAGTGCCCAGCGGTCAGCACCACCGCGGCCGCGTCGGTCGCGCTGCACTAGCTAGCCGCTGCGCGCGCGAGCATACGCGGGCGAGCGCGGCCGCAGAGATACACCAGCCAACGCCAAGCACTCATCGCAATCGCCGTCGCATGGGCTGTGCAAGCCAAGTTGCCGGTGGACGGATGGGATGATTGCGCGAGCAGTGGAGTTGACAACTCACTGCGAGCATTGGTGAACCGCACCACCTATAGTGCACCACATATTTTGCAGCACGTAGACAGCTCCAGACCAATTCGCCACATACAGTGAGTGCCACATTTGTTGCACGACGTAGATGGTGCAACATAGACTGTACAATGTGTTGATGTACGTCTATATGTATATGTATATGTATATGTATATGTATATGTATATGTATATGTATATGTATATGCATATGTATATGTATATGTATATGTATATGCATATGTATAGGTATATGTATATCATATGTATATGAATATCATATGTATGTGTATATGTATTTGTATATATATATATAGAGTGCACCACACATATTGAGCAGCATGAAATTCTGCACGAACACTGCACCACATTGCTAGAGACACACTGTTTGGGGCCCGCGCTGGCTAACACGCAGTCTAAAGACGGCTGTAGAATTGTAGACACGGCTCTCACGGTTTGCTACCGAGGCCGTCGGCCCGTTCGTTGGGACAGCGCGCGGCGGGCCTGGGGGTCACCTCGCCCGTCGAGGCCTTCGGCGAGCGGGGCTGCTGCGCCAGCTGGTTGGGCGGCCTCGCGCACGGCTCGCCGCAAATCGCCGCCGTCGTCGCCGCCGCTGCAGCGCCGTCGCCGCGGCGCCGCCTGACATCCAGGCACTGCAACCGTTTCACTCACAGTGTGAGTTTGTGCTGGTTTCGGGCACTGGGGTCATCGCAAATCGAGCAAAAACAAATGCAACAGAAATGTGGGTTGTATAGGGCACGTTTTGCGCAACGTCGGATCTCAGGGTACGCCAGGGGCGACGGCGACAATGAAGATTGCGACGCGGCGGCGGCGCAGTGGCGGCCACGCCGCCGTCCCGCCGCCGCGGCGCCGCGGCGCTGCGGCGCCAACGTCCCGTCCGTTGCGCCGCCGCGGCGCCGCGGCGCTGCCGCCGCGGCGCCATCCGCGTCGCCGTCGCAGCCAAAGCTGCGCCGATACCGCGTCGCCGCCGTCGTCGCCGTTGCCACCGAGGGGGGCGCGCAGGCAGGCGATGTCCCAGTGCCGTCTCGTCGGCCCTGGCAGCCCCGAAGTGCCACGTGGCGGCAGGGGCACTTCGTGACCGGGAAGATCGGCGACCTCTTTCGAGGGTCGTCGGAACGTGTATCAGCACCACCGTGTGCTTGTCCACCGAAGCCCTTCGATACAATGCAGGCGGCGCAGCGAAGGGCGATACATGCTGCGCGCTGCATCAGCGGAGCCGAGGTGAGTACACACACACACACACTTGGGCTAACACACGACCTCAAAATCATCGGCTCCCCAACATAACGCGAAGACGAACGCCAGAGTGGCTGTCCGCGGGTCGGCTTGACGTCGGTCTGGGCGGCAGATCCTCCAGACAGCAAGAGGGTCATCTCGTAAGTGCGTTGATCCGCCGCCCCGTGCGGAGGAGGAAGGAGTGAAGAATCGGGCACACGCTAACATGGGTTACAGTTCCACGCATCAGGTAAAACCGCACACACGCACACACACACACCGAAGCTTGACCTCCCAGGAGTTGAACCCTAATAGTGTACAGCACGATTTGAAATGCAAGGTGCGGGTTCGAACCAAACGACTTGAGTTGAAACGGCTTTGATATTGCTTATTGCTTGCTGCTGCTGCGCAGTGCTGGCTGTTGTCTGCCGCTGCGTGTTCCCGCATTATGTCGCTATTGAGGTGTGTGCGTGTGCTTCGCATCTTTTTGCTCCAAAAGGCAAGAAAAACAAAAAAACATAAAAAACCGGCCGAGAGAGATCCTCGAACAGCCCTACGACGGTACTAACAGACCCCAAGACGGCCAACAGGGCAGTAATTCACAACAGTGCTGTGAGTACACTGAGGCGTGGAAGGATGCCAAGGTACGTCTGGTAGGGTGTTGTGTTATCTAAGAAGGGCCCCACCCTCCCACGGACGCAGACTGCTGCTTCTTCCCGCATGGCCGAACGTCAACATCTTGAGCGGATGCACCTCCCCCACTCACCGAGGCCGCCTCTTCCAGCAAGGCAGCTCGTGCCTGAATCCCCCTTCCACGTGTGCAAGCTTGAGGATGGCCCACTTCCCGCATTGCAGCTCATGCCTGACCCCCCCCCCTTCCACGCCCATTATGAGGATGGTGCACTTCCCGCACGACAGCTGATGCCTGAACCCCCTTTCCACGCGTGCCTGGACGAGGATGGTGCGCTTCCCTCATGGCAGCTAATGCCTTACCCCCCCTTTCCACGCGTGCCCGCTCGAGGGTGGTCACTTCCCGCAGTGTAGCACATGCCGGACCCCCCCTTCCACCAATGCAAACTCGAGGATGTTGCACTTCCCGCGTGGCAAGTAATGCCTGGACCCTCATTCCATGCGCGCCCGCTCGAAGATCGCACATTTCCCGCATGGCTGTCACTTCCTAAACCCCTCATCCCACGCGTGCCGGCTCGAGTATCTTGCACGCCCTGCATTCCCAGGCGCTGCTCCCCAGCGCTCCAACGCCTCCCAAGCCTCCTTCCAAACTCTGGGTATGCGCCCTGGGCGTCCACGTGCAGGCAGCCAAGGACGCCAACATGGCCCGAGATGCCTCGAAAGCGCCCCAATATAGCCTCAACGCAGCCGAATCTTGCACCAGGACGGCCCAAGATGCCTCCAAGAAGGTCCATTCGTGCCAGACGAGGACCTCCAACAGGGCCCGAAGAGACAAAAGTCATCGACTTCACATAAATTGTTTCAGAGTTTCGTGTTCTCGCCTTTTCGGGCTGCCGTCGGCTCAAGACGGCCCACGAGAACTCCACGCTGGCCCAAGAGGCGTCCAAGACGGCCCAATAACGGCGCAAAAGGGCTTCCCGTAGGACCCAAGACAGCCTTAGAAGGCCCTGGGAGGGCCTAAGGCATCTCCATGAGGGCCCCGTGACTGCCCCCCGACTTGTAAGTCCTGGGGGGGTCTGCATCTATCCCGCGAGCAAGGGGGCCCTGCTGTCCGCGCGAGGCAGTTTGCGGCGCGCTTGCCTCGGCAAGCAGCAAGCAGTTTGCCGCGACGCCAGGAGCTGCTCTGACGGCACTTCCCGCGTCGCAATACACTGGCCCCCTCGGCGAGGCTATAAGAAGTTAGCAGTGGGCACTGACAGATGGGATGGGGATTCTGTGCCACGCCCACGCAGGAAATATACAGATCCGGGGCGGGGTCAACGAAATCGAAATAATGAACCTTCGGCGGCGAAGGAGAGCAGGGGCAGGCAGCGGTTCTGCGGGGGAGCCAATGGGAAATGCGCATATCCTGCAAAGGGCCCACAGAGAACACATAGCAATACGATGAGAGACCCTGGATAGCAGCACTAATATGCTTCAAGGAAACGAGAACGCAGGCACCAGCGGCCAGAGACGGGGCGCAAGAGGGGCGGGGTGCGAGCGGCAGCCCCCGGGCCCCTTGCCCTGCGCCTGCGAAGCGGGCTCGCTGGCCGCCGCAATGGCCCTGGGCCGCATGCGCAATGGATAAGGGACCTGGCGGGCCGCCGCGCGCGCTGCGGCGCTGGCCGAGGCCGCGCGGGGGAGAGAACCAATGCGCGAGGGGGCGGGGCACCGCGCGCGCGCGACGGCCTTGGCCGATTCGGCGCGTCGAAATAAAATGCGCGACGCGCCAGGGCAGCCGAAGGGCTCGGAAACCTCCGCCCACCGCGCGCGGAGAAAACATATTTGCGCGGAGTGGGGGGGAGGCTGCCCAATTCAGCGCGACAGGAAACAGCGCGCGGCGGGCTGGGAACGCCGCGCGCGGGGCGGCTCAAGCGAATCGCGGAGGGAACGACCCCGCGCGCGAGGGGCCTGGGCCGCCGCCAAGGCGGCCCATGCCCATGCGAACAGGATGCGGCAACGCGCGCGGGGGGGCAGGGAGGCCGCTCGCGCGGCGCCCTGGCCAACTCCGACCAAAGCCAGCCAGCTGACGACGGGGCGAGGCCGACGCGCCCAATGCGCGGGGGGCGGTGTCGCCACGGCGGCGGCCAGCAGCGCGCGGCAACGCTGGCCCTGTCTGCGCGGTGAACACAACGCACGCAGCGGCAGGGCCGCGGCGCGCGACGACGCGGGCCCCTTCTGAAGGAGAGCCCACCGCGCGCGCGGTGACTCCGCCGCCGCGCCCACATCGGCCTTGCCCAATTCTGCGAGCTGAAACGCCGCGCGCGATGGGCAGGGCCGCAGCGCCCCCGGCCCCCCTGCTCATTTAGAATGCATGGAGGAACCATGCGGCAGACGAGGGAGGGGGGGGCGCGCGGCCGCTGCGCGCGCGGCGCCCCTGGCCAATCGCGCGCGACAGGACGCCGCGCGCGCAGGAGCGCGTCGCCGCCGCTCGCAATGCGGCAGGGCGCGGGGGGGGGGGGAGAGGAGGCAAGGCGGCCGCTCGCGCGGCGGCCCTAGCCCATTCTGAACGGGCCAGCGCTATGCGCGAGTGGGCGGACAAGGCCGCCGCGGGGCCAGCGGACCTGCTCCTTCCCGAATGGAACACCCGAGCGCGCGAACGCGCATAGCCGCCGCCCGCGCGACAGCCCCGGCCAATTCTGGGTTTAAAAACACGGCAGTGCGTCAGAAAGCTGCGCCGCCGCGCTCGCGGTGGCTCTTTCCAGTTCTGCACGGCAATGCAATCCAACGCGCGCAGGGGCGGGGCCGCCGCTCGCGTGGCGGGCCTGGCCCGTGCTGCGTTGGAAAACATCGCGGGCGCGCGGCAGTCGTGCGCGCGGCGGCTCTGATCGATGCGCGCGAAGAAAACGCAACGCGCGGCATGGGGGCAGAGCTGCCGCGCGCGCGGCGCCCGTGGCCAATCCTGAATGAACAGCTATGTCCGCAGGGGCGCAGATCTGCCGCGCGCGCGTCGGCCCCGGCCCAATCTGCTTGAAAAGAACGCCACGCGCGCGGGCGCAAGGCCACCGCGCGCGCAGCGACCCTGGCCACCTCGGCTTAGGAGGGAGAACGCAGCGCCCGAGTCAACGGGCCCGCTCTGCATGGGCATGGTCACGGGGGCGTCATGTCTGAGCAGGCACGGCGGCCGCGCGCGGCGGCCCTGGCGCGCCCTGCGCGGGGCCGCGCGCGCGGCGGCCCCGGCCCTCTCTGCGCGAACAAACTGGCGCCAAGGGGCGGGGCCGCAGCGCGCGAGGGGGCAGGGCGCGGCTCGGAGCGGGGGGCGCCCTGCAAGTGAGCAGCGCCATGCGCGAGGGGGCAGGAACGCGGCGCGAGGCGACAGCTGCAGCATCATGTCACGTTGAACACTAACAGCGCAAACGCCAGTGCGCGAAGCCGCGGGGCGGCCGACCGCGCGGCGCCCCCTCGGTCATCTTGAATAAGAAATAATTCCGCGCGCGAATGGCCGCGCGCGAGGCGGCCCCTTCGTCATTCTGACCGCGAAGAAAAAAAAACGCGCGCGACGGCAGATGCTACTGCGCCCGCGGAGGCCATTGCGCGCGGCGCGGGGGTCTCTGCTGCGCGCGGCGGCGCTGGTCAAATATGGACTGGCGAACTCCCCCCCGGGGGGGGGGCAGGGCCGCTGCGCGCGCGGCGGCCTTGACTGACCCTGCATCTGCAATGCCGCG